CCCCAAAACCCCAAAACCCCTCTAATTAAAATAATTGTTAATTGAGGAACAAATTTAAAAAAATTATTTTTTCTTTATATAAATATCATATTATATTAGATAGCTTAATAAATTCTACTCAGAATAATAATGTCAAGAGCATTAAAAAGGATATCATCCCAGAAGCAAATGCCTTGAATTTCCAAGCTTGACTGATAGCTCTGGCAGCATCTAGCCCTGATAAATAAGCACCATGAACAGTGCCAAGGAAATCGAATTGGGTATGCTCACCAGCAAAATAAACCTTTTTGTCGATATTTGAAGCTATATTACCAGGATCTTCATCAGTTGCTCCTGCCTTAATGTAGGTATAGGATTGATATGCAAATTCATCTTGACCCCAGTTCGATCTTTTGTAATTTACATAGTCAGGAGCATTAGGGTACATTATTCTTAATGTTGCCATAGCAGAATCTAATACCTGTTGGTCAGTCATTGATGCAAATGACAATGCATCCTTTCCAATGTTAAACATTAGCAGTATAGGTTTCTATAAATACTTATTGATGTTTAGGGTTACCACCCATTTCGAATCCCCATCTGAAATATAATCTAGCCAGTCCATATTCGCATCCCAGAATACTGAACTGAATTCAAGAGCTAACTTATCCATAAGCCCTGCTCCAAGGGAATTAATTGAGCTTTGTTTACCAGAGGGTAATGCTGGAGTAAAGGTAATGATATTGTTCTTTAGGACTCCTAATGGAACTGTGACAATAACTTTATCACACTCATAGGTAGCTCCAGATTGAGTAGAGATAGAAACTTTATTCCCAGAGTAGTCTATTCCTACCACTTTACGTTCATACACAATATTGGTTCCAGTGGAGAGGACTTCAGGAATTTAAACATATCCATCTGGGAAGATATGCTCTGCTCCTTTGAAATAAGATTCCGTATCCACATATTTTGCTGATATCTAATCAGGATCAGCTGCATAATCTGATCCAAAGAGATAACCAAATGCGAAACTCTTCATGTTTCTATTCACTTGGTTATCAGTCATAGGGTAATTTGCAAATAGTTGTTCGAGTGTGGTAGTTTAAGATGCTGAACCTTAGCGATCTTTAAAAAATTGCTCAAAATTTTCTGTGAAAGAAGAAATGTCATAAGAAGTCTTGCCACCTTGCCACCAGAAGAAAGCTTCCTCTGCATTGTCTTCATCTTCCCAAGTAGATACAGTAGCAATGTTGTTGTCCCTTGCGATCTGATATATTGGATTGAACTTGTTATTCCATTTTTTCAGACCATCAGCTCCCTTTCCGATCCCATGAATCCATGATGCTCCCATATCTATTTTCGTTGTACCAACAGTAGAAGTCCATAACCTTCCACCTTTTCTGTCTCGACCCTCTAGAACAGTAACATTGCATCCTGAATCCTTTAGAGACTTTGCAGCTGCAATTCCTGATATCCCAGCACCAATTACTACTACTTCATAGTTGCATGCAGCAAAAGCTGACTGAGCCAAATATGAAATTGATAATAGCAATAATTGCCTGTGATTATGGCAAATCCTTTTAATCATTTAATAATAATTATTACAAAAATATTGTATCAAACTTTACTAAAAAGAAAATATCCTTCTATATCTATCAAATCTAATCAATCGGGGTTTTGGGGTTTTGGGGTTTTGGGG